GGGGGGGGGGGGGGGTCCGGGAAGTATTCCAAATAAATAAAAAATCGCGCGTGCAACATCATTTTTCAAAAACTGTTCACGATACCAAAAAAATTCTTGAACCAGAAGAAGTAGAAGATACGGCTCTATAAATTTTTATTCTTGACAATTTTTCAAAAATATACGGGGTGCGCCGCAAATTCAAAAAAACTGAAAAATGGGTCTTCCTATTACTGAAAATTGGTTATAACTGAAAGACTATGAGTCAGATATCACTTCCTTTTATATTGCAATATAGCTCGAATAGACAGCAAAAACTTTTGTATTTAATGGTTTCACCTATTATACAGGGTGTTTCCGATATTCCGTGCTAAATGGGAAATGTGTTAGGTGTCCTAAATTTGCAGATATCAACTTCAAATTTAGCGGAGAAGTAAAAGTCCGTGTCCACATTTGTACTATAGGGATTGGGCGGAATCAAATTTTACCAAGTATTTTTTTAAAATATTTGAAATTTTTTTTTTGTAATTTTAGCTTCCAGAAAAATATGTTTTCCTCCATAATCGTTCATCCGATTGGCAAAATTATTAGTCGCAAAAATCGTAAAAAATATGGCTAAATGGTTCAAACGGTGTCGTAGCCCGCATCAAGGGCTACAATTTTTGTATTTGCGGTTTTCTTCTATCACATACGCTGCTCGGGATAATTGAAAAAATCCATATTGAAATCGTTATTTCCGGGGCTGTCAAGACGCGATGACGTCATTGATTATTACGGCGCACTGCATGGTTTCAGAAAAAACTTATTTTCTCGAAAACCGTTTACTATTTTCAAAAAATTCTTGAACAATGATTGTATCATATGTGTCGTTTATGGGCAAAAAATCTAAAATATCCTAAAAATTTCCGGTTTTGGTGGGTAAATTATTGGCGGTAAATGAAAAACCGTTAAAGATGGGATAATTTTATTTGAACAGTATCGTAAACCGTGTCGTGAGAGAGTGAAGTTTCGTCAATTATACAGGGCGCGAAACATTATAATATTTACCGATGTTTGCTGTAACTTTGAAGTTCGACGAGATGTGAAGGACATTTTATACAGGGTGCATGCACAATTAAATTACATCGATTTTGCGAAAGTTCCATAGTGGTCCGCAGGAGCAGGATAAAAAATAATGCGTCCCTTTACCACACGAAACCGCGAAGCTCCTTCCTTTTATAATAAAAAGCTGCTTCGCGCTACGCGGTACGAACTTGCCCCGCCCAGTGACGATTTTTCGAAAGCAATCTTGTTTACATAGTAGCAATTTTAATAGAATAGATGGTCTTTAAAAGAAAACGTATTGTATGGACTTAATTTTGTTGCCAGTTTTCATAATATCCAAAAGTATTAAAGTTTAAGATTAAATTAACTTTAGGTTATAGATTTGGGGGTTATTCTGAACTCTACACTGTTATTCCATGAAGATTTACTCTAAGGGCTAACGAGGGCTTTTGAAAAACCCAGCGTCTCTAATTAATACTAATTTAGTTAACTTATCGCTAAGATTGCTGTTACTTCGTGTATTCATCGGCTATGTTATTTGCTCTCAGCATCATTTTTCATATAAGCCTAATTTTTTAAGTTAGAATTTTGTTTGCATACCTCTACTGAATTTTGTAAATATTCTTCTTTTTTCTAATTCGTGTTGCTCTATAACTGAGATCTACTCCGAGCAGTCGATCCATTTTTGTTCTCGTCCTTCCGTACTAAATTGTATAAAATATTTCACGAAAAAGTTTCACGATTTTTTAAATGAATTGTATTGAATGTTGTATTCATTTTACTCTGTACTTTCATATAGAAAATACTAGCTAAATCACAATTAGCAACAAACTAATAATGACAGGGAAGATGTGTTTGGTAAAGCACAGTTTTAATGTATTCCAAATGTCCTCTGAACTGCAAAGAATTGTTTTCCTTTTAGACTTAGTTAAAATTTGCTTTAATGAAGTTTCTATTGTTGATATTGATTTTTATAATATTAGAGTTGGAACTAAAATGGATTATGTTCCTTAAGTTTATCGTCTTGATGCTGCATCCCAAACAATGATTCCATTTTTGTTAATTTTCTTCGTCTTTAAGTAATTGACACAATAATAATTTTTTCCAGATTTCAATGTCTTTATTCTGCTGTTACTGCAAACAGTCACTTTACATCACATTCCAGGAATATATAAAAGTTTAAATTAAATGATGTTTCTACCATAGATAAATAACGTTTCTACTATTCGACTAAAAATTAATACTCGAGAAATAAAATTTTGGCCCAAAAGCCCTTTACCAGTTAGTCGATGCATGGGGCAACCAAAATACGCCAAAACTGTCAAAGTGGCAAATGACATGCTGCCATTTTTAATTTCCAAATTTAATTTCACATCATTTCATAAACTATTAGGGAAAAGGATGGGTGCAATAACTGTTGAAGTATTAATGGCGATCTATTTTTCATGCTTGGATATCAAAATGGCAATTCAACTTTTGGTTTAATTCTGATTCACTAAATTGTTCAACCATGAACTTCCATGCATCTGGTCCCTGCATATGAAATGCCAAAAAATTATTGCAAAGCTCCCAAATTGAATTCAATTTTCGAACAAAATTAGTTGCACAATATTAACTTACAGGGATTTGCCAAATTAGCCAATTTTAAGGAAAGCAATAGTTCTGATGTTTTATCTATATATCGCGATTATTTTTTTTTCCAATGTTTAGAAAATAGAGATAGAGGAACGGTCTAATCAAACGCCGTGACATTCGAGATTCTTTGCTATTTTTTAAAAGCTCCTGAAATCTTCCCCGTCCTTTTCGCTGGGGGTAAGCTGTCTGATTACAGTTTGTAAATTCTAATCCAATTCGTTTTGCAGCAGTCACTTATTTCGTACCGGCGTTTTTTGCCGGATAGAATCTTCGAATACTTCATAAGTATATATTCATAACGTATTTCGTTTCGCTTTTTACATTCACGAAACTCCAGGGAAAATTTGATTTCGTCTGGGGGATGATTTTTGAGACGGAGACGTTTTTGTGAGTAGAAAAAATTCGTCGTTTTATTAAAATGTATTTTATCCGAACTATTGCTTACAATATGTAGGTCACATCTTAGAGCCGCACAACAACTGAAGTAACGCTTACTGTTGAGTTTTTTTTTTGTGTTGAGTATGCCTCAAAGTTTCGTTATTCATAAGAGTGAAAAATCCAGGGAAAAACTTAATTTATTGCACTAATTTATCATAGTCTTGTTGGAACTTAGTTCTGTATGTCTCCTTTAATATTATTTCTTTTGTTCTTTATTAAAAAAGTGATCACCACTGAACCAAAGCTCTTTCATTAAAAATGGGGTTAATAGAATCTACGAAGGATATACCTCAGGGCAATTCTGGTGTACAGTATGCAGGAATTCCGGAAGAATCTCAAGAAGTTCTAGAGAAATTCCACAAAATTATAAGTAACGTGTTACCCCTCAATAATCTGTTACGAATTTAACTCAAAACCAAAAAGCTACCTAGTCGTATTACATTACGTAAAAAATGGTGCTTCTACCTTTAAGTAACTTAATTGTATTTGTTCTTCTCCAGTTAGGAAAATATATCTTGGGACCCAATGACGACTAAGGATAAGCAAGATCTATACGCTGTGCTATTCAAGAATACTAATTAGCACTGTTCGCACAGTGTTTTTTATACAATTTTTTAATAAAATGGCCTGCCAAAATCAAACCAGAACAAAATTAACTCTTTTATTTATAGAGAAACATATGCCCTCAAAAATTATCCCTTAGAACATTTTTGTATATTTGTGTGATATTGATAGTGAAATTAACACCAGATACAAAATCAAGGGTAAAACATCAACACTAGTGCTATGCTATGTTTTTATTACTTTTTAACTGAATATATTAAAGAAAATAGTATTTTTTCAATTCGGTTGAAAAGGCGAAGAAATAATTAATTTCTCTCTACAGTTTAACTTCGAAGTTCTTGTAAATAAGTATTCAGGGTGAAATTATCAATTCTCCAGTTTGTTGTAAATATGATTAACTTTTTTGAATTTTTTGTTTCAGTTAAAATTAATAGTTTTTTTCATTTACAAATAGCCCTAGTTTTCGTTAATATCAAACTATTTCGAAGATTTTTAACTTAAAATACAACAAATATCGATTTTTAATTGATTCTTACTCGAAAACGGAAAGAAAACTGTGACATGAACTATCCATTATAAAACTATTCGAGTTTTTTTATAAAGAATCTAAAAATACATAAAAGTACCGGATATTTCTAAAATCTTTTTTTGTTTCAGTTATATGTTAAAATTAATAGATTTTTCATTTACAAATAGCCACAGTTTTCATTAGTATCAAACTATTTCGAAAATTTTAAACTCAAAATTCACAAAATTTCGATTTTTAATTGTTTCTTACTCGAAAACGGAAAGAAAACTGTTGGAGATGAACTATCCATTATAAAACTATCCGAGTATTTTTTATAAAGAATCTAAAATTACACAATAGTACCGGGTATTTCTAAAATATTTTTTAAATTTTTGATGGCTTCGGTGCATTACGCATCAAAATCCGAAACTGTGAACCCACGTATTGGTTCAAAAGTTTTTCCATTAAGAAATGAAAAAATTTCGTCTACACGAACGAAGTTCCGAAACATTCTGGGGATTTTCCCCTAGCTTTTTACTATTAAACTAACACCCCGTACGAGAAAACTAGTAACGACAGATGAAATTTTCTCGAAAATCCGAACCATTACTCTAATAACACCTTTGCGCACCTATTTCCACGAAAACAAATATCCTAATGTTGTTCGGAGTTATTTTAAAGCTCGGATAACATTGAAAAATAGCGTGCTTTGTTGTAATTTCGAACCCTTTGATTGCGTTCCCGGGCGGGTCGGCCGGGATGGATGCGTGCCCTAAACGGCGGACCAGCCCCCATACATCCGGTTACGGGTTCGACTTCTCTCTCTCTCGCTCTATCGAAAATTCCCTTTTCCTACGGCACAACTCGGTACGCCCAAATGCGCCACATCCGATACCAGTAGCGTAGCCCGGATATAGTTTTGCCGGGGACTCGTCAAACTGTGACGCCCGACTATTTCTTTTTCCATCTGAAGGGGTGGGGCGGGGAAATGCCGCAAGAAGTCGTTTATCTTGCACGCGGCGGCGTTCTGCAAGAACGGACAAGAATATATCACTATAAGATGGACAAAGTCTTACGTTTTTGTTACTTTCTACGGGTCTGCCAACAAAGATCTCAAAATTTAATGGAGACCGATTTAAAATGCTGATATGCCCCACTTATACGGATAATATTCAATTTTCTAAGTCGGTTCAATACAAACATGAAGAAAGTGTCATCTAACCAACTCTCAAGATCTTAATTTTCGATGACCTTGTGCAATAACGATCTCTTCTTTAACTTTGTTTTTCGAACTATGAGTGATCTGACCACTACCCTTAAAATGATAGAAATTTAGCGTGGAAATAAAAAAAGAGATTCTGCCAAAATTTAATTTTCAACTACAGATTTTGTTATGGATAACATGGCAAAAGTCTCAATTCTATACTATATTTATTAATGCGAGAGAGTAATAAAATGTACATTTGCAATCATCATCAAATTTTAACAAAACTAAATAAATAACAAGTTTTACAGCTAAAGTGATTTTATGTAAAAGGGTTGGAGTAACCAATGTTGATAAAATCCTATTGGGGGATAACATCCACATAAATTACTTTTTGCAAAACTTCTGGATTTCCCCTGCATCTGTTTTTGCGGAGTCTGTTTCAGTCAAGCTCTGAAGAAACCAACAGGATGATTGGCGAAACGTCAGCAAGTTCGACTCAGCAAAAACAGACGCAGGAGGAATCCAGAAGTTTTGTAAAAAGTATTACAGTAGCCTGTGGAAGTTTCTTTGAAAAATCCACATAAATTAGTGTAAAGTGTAAATATTCAAAGCACTGACACTACACGGTTTCCAAATTAGAGGAAGGAGGTTCGTATTTTAAAGATAAATATACCAATTTACTCCTTATAAAAGTGTATCAACAAATTTTAGGGTGCAAAGCTGTTGAAAAGACTTTCTAACACAAAGACCCATTAACCCATTTTGTCCCAGTGGTGCGTGAATGCACCGCTGGTTTTATCTGTGAAACAAAACTTTGTTATTGCAAGTCTAGACAAGTCAGCGCATGTAGAATAAACATCCAACAATTAGCGTGTTCTTTAGTATCAGTTTGTGCCTTGTGCAGTGAACGTTACAGTTGGTAAAATATGGCATTTCCGAGGTATTTGACTCAAAAAAGGCGGCTATGGAGGAGATCGTGATGGATGATGACAATAACAATGAAAGTGATAAGTATTATTTGGATTTACATATTCTTATGTACTGTAGCATTCCATTAATTGTAAACTTATGCTAAAAATAACGTGAAAAAATATTTACAGAACATATTGACGCGGTCTATATTCCACCCGACGTGGATACCTTGACTGACGAAGAAGATATGAACGATAAATCTACAAGAGTTTGGGGAACCGACTGATAGTTGGAACTTTCGAGTTACATATACCGAATGATACAGCTGTCCTTCAACAGTCCTGTAATGTGTCAACTACTGAACCTGAATGGGACTCATTAGATGATGAAACCTTGGAATTCAAAAGAAGACGTATGCTTTCTGCAAACGATAGGTTTGTTTCTACTGTCAAATTGAAAAACTGATTAAACAATTACTCAAAGGAATCTTGCATCTGCCAGAGATGAAGTGCGTTATGATAATCAAGGTCACTTCATGATTATTCATGCTAACAAAGCCCGAAGGAAGTGTAGAATCTGCCACAGCCACACAATTTACGTTTGTAATAAGTGTAATGTGCATTTACATACTTCATGCTTTGTAAAATATCACCAAAAATGAAACCAAGTGTTACCAGTGGTGCGCTCACGCACCATAAATTATTATGCGTTTTTTTGTATCAAATCTACTTTTAGTTGTTTTCTATCGAATTTGAACTTTCTTTTGAATATTCATGTATATATTATATGTTACATCTTATGTACCCCAAAACATTATTTAATGTTTTTTCTCAGTGGTTCGTTTACGCACCAGTATTTTTTTGTATGTTTCGAGTTTTTATTTTTTTTTGACACATGTAATGTATTCTTAAGTGCAACAAAATAAATAATTTCAGAGCAAAACAGTTTTTTTCTATGCTTGGGATAATATGGGTTAATTGTGATGCGCTTGCTGGAATTCTGGAAGACTGGGCCATTGTGTTAGAAACTGATTGCTGTGTACTTTTCAAGCGGTTTCACAAATAGGCAATAATCGATTCCCTATAGTAAACTAACTCTAATCGCAGTTTACAAAATACAATACAAAAATTGTAAAATTGTTAGGCAGCAATATTTGGAAAATAAAATCACCATCACTTGGGAAAAGAGATTTCTTGAATCCATTTGGTTGGAAAACACTTAAAATAGGGACTAGTAATAGCAAAACCTATACTGGAGTTACCAGCACCAATTATTCGTAATCGGAAATCGAAACCCTGATATTTCCAAGCGCAGTTCAACCGAAGGTGTCGTGTTAGTGAGCAATTGCAGCTGACCTATTTAGGCCATCGGAATAACCTCGCGTTTCTACTTTAGAGGGGTAATCGCCTTGCTCCCTTTCATTTCAAGATTCCCATTCAACCTGACTGAACCGGGAACATTTTAAATGCACCCCTTTTCCGGCCCTATGACCCCCCGTGCCGAAAAATTCCGCGCTCCCTGGTACAACGATGTTCACGGTCTGTTTGGTGTGCTATCTTTGATTTTTATCAGCGACAATGGCTTTCGTTATAGCGTTTCGCCAAAATAAGAATTAAGGTTATGATATATCTTAATTGTTTCCGGTTGGCATTGTTTGCGTGGCAACGAGAAGGGCGAGACCGAGGCGCAGATATAATTGAAAGATCAAATAATTATTGGATTCACTCCCATGAAAATGGAGATTCGGAGTGGCGTCGCCGTCGTGGCTCGGAACTTTTGCGGTTGCTCGTTAATTGCGATGTTTATCTGGCATTTTTCGTAGTGCCCAAAATCGAGGCGTATCAAAAAACCTTCCGTGATCGAAGCAATTTCGGGGATTCGCGACGCTAGCTCATTATCACCGTCTCGGACCACATACCAAGTTGAACGGCTTCCCTTATCGTTCCTATGTAGAAGATACCCCACTCATTGAAAATTTTATAGTATTAAAAACGAATAATTTTGTTGAAATGCTCATTGAAAAAGTAATTGTCCCAATTCAAATTCTTTTCTATATTAGAGAATGTCCATTTAAGCAATGCTTTCCATTGTATGAGTTATAATCTGCTTTTGAATATGCTATAGCGAGAGGGATTGTTCTCCAATAGCTTGAATCGTTTTTAAGATCGCAGCGGGTGGCAAATCATTGTTGACTACTAATAATCTAAAGTTTTCCATAACAACATCGGTGTTCCACAAACATTCTGCGTAATTGCATCTTAGATATCAACACATTTTTGATAAGCAGCACGAACACCAGTTTGTAATAGCGTCATCAATGATCAGAATAGTAAATTTTGTCAGAATATTGAATTGCCTTAGAACTTATTACATGTTACCATTATGTTTAGCAAAAGACAAATCAATCTTACCAAATAATACAAAACTACAAAAACCAAGACGAGGAAGAGGACAAACAGCCAAGCGAAAGAAGAGGCATCTGACCAGAGATAACAATTGGAAAAATTATGCACGTCATAAAACTGCAGATGGACGGAAAAGCTGTTGGTCCAGATGAGATAAACGTGAAATTCTCAAAATATGTTCAGAAGAAAGTTCATCTATTAAACAACTAGTATTACTATTCAACAAGCCGATCTTCATCCCCATACCCAAGAAAACAAGAGCAAAAAAATGCGACGACAACCGTTTAATGTCACACGTTCTCAAAGTCTTCCTAAGAATTATACACATTAGAATATATAATAAGTGTGAAGACGACATGGATATCATACAATTCGGATTTCGAAAAGGCTTGGGGACAAGTGAAGCTTAATTTTCTCTAAATGTACTTGTTCAACGCTGCAAAGATGGAAACCTGAAATCAATTATCATAGATAAAAGAGACCTAACCAATCAGCAGAAATGAAAATTGGACAAGAAAGATCAGAGGCAGTAAAAATAAGGCAGGGGGTGAGACAAGGATGTATTCTCTCGCCACACTTGATCAACCTATACTCAGACGCCATATTTAGGGAAGCCTTACACGAATCCACTGAAAGCATAGTCGTCAATGGGGACCACATAAACAAGTTGCGTTAAACGGATGATAATATTCTAATAGCCAATAACATGCAAGATCTACAAAACTTAATAGATAGAGTCGTATATCATAGTAGGGAGTCTGGATTGACACTGAATGTAAGGAAGACTAAATCGATGTTAATAACAAAAAAGGATATCCACGGGTATCCACATTTAAATAATTGGGTAAGTGGGATCCAAGGAAAGGAAAGGTAACCAAGGAAAGAGTAAACTCCAGAATTGCACAAGCCACATGACATATATAAATATAAACAGATTCTTCTATAAAACTAGACTTAATCTGAAACTCAGAACGAGAATGGTGAGGGCCTATATGTTTTCTGTGCTTTTATATGGGTGTGAGTGTTGGACCCTTGATCTTCCAAAAAAAGACTCGAGGCTTTCGAAATGTATATATACAGGCGTCCTCTTCGTATTTCCTGAGTACAGAAAGTGAGAAACACGGAAGTACTAACAAGGATGAACAAAGAAAAAGAACTTTTAACAACTATAAAAACAAGAAAAACCCAATACTTTGGAGATATCATCAGAACCCCAAAATACGAAATCCTACGTTTAATTATTGAGGGCAAGATAAAGGGTAATAGATCTATTGGGAGAAGACAGAATTCTTGGATGAAAGACATGCGGAGATGGTTTGGATGTTCGTCAAATGATATTTTCAGAAAAGCAGTTTCCAAAGTTCGTTTAGCTATACGGATCGCCAACTTTCTTAAGGAGACGGCGCGATTAGAAGAAGAAGACAAAACCAAACAAACTTTGGTGGTGGACTAAGAGTTCAATACTATTTATAAATCTTCTGGATTCCTCACGCGTCGATTGTT